GTATGTGTGCTGGGTGACTTACACATATGTGTCTCTATATCAATATATCATTTGCTTATCTTTTTGGACAATAATATGATAAAAAAATGATATTATGATAAAAAAACAAATTACTTGAACATTTGCTTATGAATAACTATGTAGCGTTTCTTTTCAGGATCACCAGTACCACCCTATGTGCAGATCTTGATGTGGCAGCTGACAGGTGCTGACAATTTTGACGTGTAACAGCAACTTGAGAGCAATAAACAATGAAAAATAATACTGTTTCCTTTATTAAACCAACAAAATTCTGCTTATTGCAATTACATTTTCAACACTGAAATGTGTCTAAAGGACATGTATGACCCTACTATAGCCAAATGTGAAAATATTATAATGGTTTAAACATATATAGAACTTAAAGGTAAATATGTCATATTAATCATGTTTTATATCAAGTAAGATTTCAAATATTCATCCAGACCCTGGAACTGTAGCTAAACATACTTAAATCACAATGCATTTTTTTCTAACTGCTACAGTTTTCTTTAATTTCTAAATCCATTATATGTCTGTAGCATTGTTCATTTGCACAGATATTTATTTAGCGATTTTTTGCCTTTAGATGGGTTCCCTCAGTATTGTGGACTAGCTTTCTTTATGTTTGCTTATGGTGATTTGTGCCTCAAAGTAAACAAATTCAAATTTCCCGCGTTTTCAAAGTTAGCGATGGTCTATCTAGAGGAAACCCGGGCAAAGGATCGCCCGCCGAAAGTGTTGTAAGCTCGGCTTACTTTTGTTAACGCCTGGCGATCGCCTGCACTTTTCCGAAACTTTGATGGTACGGAAGTGGATGGTAGAGAAGGGTTGGAGAAGGGATGGAAACGGAAGAGCGGGAGGGAGAAAAGACCCTGCATAATTAGTCAAGTCGAGGGCTGAGGCCCTAGGTGGGGGAGATCCCCGCATTGGATCCCACTCCTCGTCTCTTAAGCCCCCCCCACGACAACAACGGGCAAGGGATTAGGGGGGACGATTGGAAGAGGGAGTATAGGCTGAGGGGGTAGTATTACGGAGAGATGGGTAATAAGGCTGGAAGGTAGTAATAGGAAGGATGGGGTGATTGATGAAAGTTGTGGGGTAGAGGTGATGTTAAAGTTGGGAGAGTAGGATAGTTAATGGATAGTTAATGATCATATAGCACTATAGGAAAGTATATCAAAGGAGGGGTGAAGGGTGATAGTTGCTATGCGTCAATAATCTAGAGTAATCTTGAAAGGTTAAAGATGGGTAAATGAGTTACTGTGTGGATGGGCTATGGTGGGTCAGTAAGGGAATTACATAAGGGATTCACGAGTATATCCAGGAGGAATTGGAAAGGATAGAGGGGATTGATAATGGTTAATAGTTAAAAAGCAAAGCAAAAAAAAAAAAAAAAAAAAAAAATCTGTCATATAGCACTATAGGAAAGTATATTAGAGGAGGGGTGAAGGGTGATAGTTACTATGCGTCAACTATCTAGAGTGATTTTGTAGGGTTAAAGATGGTTAAGGAAGTTGTGTGAATGGGCTATGGTCGGCTTAGGTAAGGGAATTACATAAGTGTTTCATGTGTGTTTCCAGGAGGGAGTGGAAATGATAGAGGGGATGGAGGGAGGGATAATGTACTTATAGTTGGAGTTAAGGGGGGTGGGTTGTGTTGGGAGGGAGTAGGAGGGAGTGGTGTAGGGGGAGTATGAGTAGGAGGATGGATATATCGGCAGTAGTTGGTGTTGAGGGGGATGGGTTGTGTTAGAGGGAGTAGGAGGAAGACTGATACCGGTAGTATCAGGAGGATGGTTATCGGTAGTATGCGTAATTGAGGATTAGGTTGTGTTTAGAGGGAGTAGGAGAGAGGGGTGTAGGTTGAATATGAGCAGGAGGGGGATGGATACCGGCTGTCACTTCGAGTATGGAGGGAGCATAAGGTGTGGAATTTTGTCTCAAGCATATAGTTTTGGATATATATTCCATAGTTTCTGCAGTGGAGTTAGTTGGATAGTTTTGTGAGAAAGATTTTCCTATGAGGGAGGGGAACAGGAGACTGGTGTCTGAAGGTAAAGGTAGGTGAAGGTGAGTGCATTAGGGGAAGAAGGGGTGGAACGTTTAGTCTGTCTGCTGCGGGTAGTGGGGAGGGAGTGCCATGGTGTTGGGGCTGTAGTTGAGCTTGGAGTGTCTGGGTGTCGAGTAGCAAAAGAATTTGACAGGAGGAGGTAGAATGTAGAAGTGGAAGTAGGGAAGTAGGTATAGGGGAGGATGTAGGAGCATCTTGAGGTGGAGGGGGAGGGGCAGAGCGAGCAACATTACTAGAGTAGGGAGTACAAGAGAAACCTTGATGGCGTGCTTCCTGTCTGGCTTCACGTAGAGTGAGACCATCTTTGTATCAGAGTTGCTACCACTGACTCGAACTTGTAAGTGGGACAGCCTCTATAAAATACATTATGGGGGACGCCGCAGTTAGCACATGTACGTGTTTGTGCAGAGCAGTTTGATCGGTTATAACCTGGTTTGGCACATAGGGGGCATCGGTCTGTGGAACGGCAATGTTTGGCAGAATGTCCAAATCGCCAACAGTTTTGACATTGACGAGGAGGAGGTTGGTATGGTTGAACAGGGAGGGATTGTCCACCAATGTAGATACGAAAGGGAAGACCATGTGTGCGGAAAGTAATTTTGGCAATGTTGAAGATTCTTTCGTTGACCTTTAGGAGGAATGGTGTAGCAATGTACTGACTTCACATCTTGGCCTTTGAGGCATCCAATAAGTGTTCTCCACAGTCTGACCAATCTTTGGTATCGAATGGGTAATTTGCTGGGGAGAGAGAATGAGTGAGTTCCAGTACAAGTATTAAGGGTTGGATGAGGTTCTGCTGGAATGGGGTTGCCAGAATGATCGGTTAAATTTGATAGTGCTATAGATTCAGTTTCTGATCTGACTTACGAGACGGTAGCGATCGCGTCTGGTATAGAAGTAATAATGACAAGAAAATAAATGTGCTCGACATCAAAGGTCATATAGCATTATGGTATTGTACTGTATTGTGTTGGGAGGGTTTTAAAATTCTTCATTACAATTAAAATGTCAAGTTTCGACGGTCATTTATTGTATGATAGTCTAGTATTTAAAGGAGTAGGGAGGGTAGATGGGGTAGGATAGGTATTGATGAGAAGAGGAAGAGTTAAGGATAGATGATTAGATCAAAAGGATATTTATGCGTCTGAGGAAGTCTGGTATAGAAAGGGATTTTGGCCACTTGTTTTTGGAGACATTTTTGAAAGAGAAGTGTTGCCCGAGTAAAGGGCTGTAGAAGGGATCACGAAAAATCGGTCCCATTTAGCTGGGCTAAACAGTATTTAAAATATCTCTAGGGTTGGTGGTGGTGGATGGTCGGGGACGTGTGGAAGAGGGAGTATTACAGAGTGATGGAGAATAAGGCTGTAAGGTAGTAATAAGGGAGGATGGGGTGCTTGATGAAGGTTATGGGGGTAGAGTTGATGAATTTGAGGAAGTTGTGAGGGTAGGAATGTCTTCTGGAGATCGAGTCTCTGCTTGGGTGGGTAATGCACTGGTAGGTATTGAGGAGTGGGTAGTAGTTTGTGTTCGGAGTCGTTGTCAAAGGAGAGCCTGGGGTCAGGGAGCCGGTGGGGCTACTTTACGAAGGGGCAAGCCTCATTGCCCCTAATCAGGTTATTTCATATTCATTACTGGCCATGGGAAGCCTTAACTGTGTAAAGGGAAATAAACAGTCCACCCCCAGTATCCTATAGGGGGTTAAGGGCTAGACAACTAAATCAGGGGAGTACCGTGCCCATGGTTCCCGTAGTCCGTTCAGGACTAGCACAAGGTCAGCCTTTCATTCTTTCAGCACGGCTCTTACACTGTGGAGGTTAAGAAAACAAACTGGATTTTATCTCTTTATTGTTAATGAGCCAAGCACAGGTCAGGTGCGGTTCTAGATTGATGGCCAATCAGGAACCGCTACAGCACTCCCCCTCTAGTTTCGCGGTCGCGAAACGGACTCTGGCGATCCTGAAGGGCTGCTGCAGGTGTGCGGGTTTGGCGCGGTCGATGGTCACGGTGTCTTCTCCCTTTGGCCGGCGGATGGTGATCGTCTTGTCGCCTCTTCGGATGACCGGGAATGGACCCTCGTACAGAGGACAGAGAGCAATCCTGGAGTCCTGGAGGCATGTATATGTACTGCTGTCGGGTGGGTCTCGTCGGTCGGCTGCATACCCGGGCCATTCGTTCGCAGAGTTGTTTGCCGAAGGTCCCGGGTTCGAAGTTGCTGGCTGTGACAAGGAAATCTGCAGGGAGGGCGAGCATTGTCCCGTAGACCATTTCTGCGCTGGTGCACTGCAGGTCCTCTTTGAACGACGTCCGGATGTTAAGGAGGACATGAGGAAGTTGGTCGACCCATCTCCTGTTAGGGGAGGATGATATTAGGGCCTGCTTCATATGCCGGTGGAGTCGCTCGACCATGCCGTTGGCGCAGGGGTGGTAGGCAGTCGTCCTGATTCTTTTGGATCCGAGCAGGATCATTAAGTGGCGCCAAAGTTCGGACTCGAACTGGGCGCCGCGGTCTGTAGTGACGGTTTCCGGGGTGCCGAAGCGGGAGATCCAGGTATTGAAGGTCTTGGCGACTGTCGCTGCGGTGATGTCACGGAGGGCCTAGCCTCGGGCCATCTGGTGAAGCGGTCGATCATCGTCAGGATGTAGCTGTAGCCGTCGTCCATGGGCAGAGGTCCCACTATGTCTATGTGGACGTGTTGGAACCTACTGTCTGGAATAGGAAAGGTCTGGAGGGGGGGATTTGGTGTGCCTGTGGATCTTGTTTCTTTGGCATTCGGTACAGGAACGACACCACTGCCGAACGTCCTTGTTGATGGCGGGCCAGACGACTTTGCTGCGGATGATGTGTTGGGTGGCCCGGATGCCACGATGCTGGTGGTAGGCATCGAAGAATCGCCGGGATTTTGACTCTCTCAAGGTAGAAGGAAGTCTGGCCCTCTAGGAGTGGAGTCAAGGACGTGTCCTGGCGTTGCTCTCTGCTTACTACATGGTAGTCCACTGCGTCGTCGGCGAGAGTCGCAGCAGATATGGTCACCCTCGACAGAGCATCGGCGGCCTCATTGTCCGAGCCCCGAATGTGGTGGATGTCCGTCGTGAACTGGGAAATGAAGTCCAGGTGGCGCTCCTCGCGAGGGGATTGGCGGCGGGTCCTCGAGTGTAAGGCGAAGGTGAGGGGTTTGTGGTCCGTCAGGATGTGGAATTCCTTAGCCTCCACAGACGGCTGGAAATGCCTCACCGCGGAGTATGCTGCCAGGAGCTCCCTTCCGAAGGCACTGTACCGTGACTGGCGTGGCGACAGGGTCTGCGAAAAGAAGGCAAGGGGTTGCCACTGCTTACCCTGGCGTTACTGGAGGACCGCACCGATGGCAGTGTCGGAGGACAAACCTTCTGTAGAAGTTAAACATGCCCAGGAATTTCCGCAGCTGCTTCTCCGTCGCTGGCCTGGGGAACTTCCTTATAGCGGTGACCTTCTCCTGCGCTGGGGTGATGCCTTGGGGGGTGACGGTGTGGCCGAGGAAAGAGAGGGAAGCGACACCGAACTGGCATTTTCCCGGGTTGATACCGACGCCCGCGTCTTGCAGTCTGCCGAAGAGGTCGCGGAGATGGCGGACGTGGTCTGCTTCTGAGATGCTGGCGACGAGGATGTCGTCGATGTAGGCGAAGACGCTCTCAAGGCCGCGAGTCACGTCGTTTATGAATCGCTGGAAGGTCTGGGCGGCGTTCCGAAGACCGAAGGGCATCCTGAGGAATTCAAAGAGGCTGAAAGGTGTGATCACGGCCGTCTTGGGGATGTCCTCTTCAGCGATCGGGATTTGGTGGAAGGCCCGCACGAGGTCGATCCTGGAAAAAAACGTACAGCCAGACAGCTCGTGGGAGGAGTGCAGGTGCGGCAGGGGGTATCTGTCGGGGGCGGTGATCGTGTTGAGGTGACGGTAATCACCGCACGGGCGCCAGTCACCATCCTTCTTTTTCACCTGATGCAGAGGGGCCGCCCATTGACTGCTTGAAGGGCGTATAATCCCCAACTGCATCATATGGACGAACTCCGCCCTGGCACTGCGACATCTGTCAGGGGCGAGCGGACGGGAGCGAGAGTGGGCAGGGGGACCGTGGGTGACGATGTGGTGCCGGACTTCGTGCCGTGGTTGGGTGGCCCGGTTGATCGGCTTTGTCAAGGCCGCGAATTCCCGCAGGATGTTCTTGAAGGCGCAGGTCCTGGGAAGCACTGTATATATTAGGGGGGTACTTACCAGAGCCGGAGCAGCGTGCGTGCGGGCCCCGGTTCGGTGGATTAGGGCCATACCTTGAAGATCAACCGTCACACCGTAGTGCGCCAAGAAGTCGGCGCCGATGGTGGGCTGAGGGACGTCGGCGACGAGGAAGATCCACTGGAATCGTTGGGCGGGCTCGCCTTCCAGCGTGCGGGCCCCGGTTTCGGTGGATTAGGGCCATACCTTGAAAATCAACCGTCAGACCGTAGTGCGCCAAGAAGTCGGCGCCGATGATGGGTTGAGGGACGTCGGCGACGAGGAAGATCCACTGGAATCGTTGGGCGGGCTCGCCTTCCAGCGAGAGGCTCCTCGAATACTCGCCGTAAGTATTGATGGGCGCCCAGTTTCCGCGGTACCCTCCAATCTTTGAGCGGCGGTGCAGGAGCGCGGAAGCGAGGCTGGCGGTTAGGCGGTAGAAAGCACCTGGTCCCGGTCACTGTGTGGCGGTGAAGGGGTGCGACAGCGAGGCCGGGAGCGAGAGCGTTCCTGTGTAGATATCTTCTGCACAGCCTCAGATAGTGTGGCGACGTGAGCTGCAAGGGATCCCAACGTCACGGCGGAGGTGGTGGTTGCAGCAGACACTGTCGCTTTTGGCGGTGTGGGTGCCCTAGCTGCGAGCATCGAGTCGGCTTTTAGGGCAAGGTGCTCAAGTGGGGCATCTGGCACCAGCAGGATTTGCTGGATAACAGCGGGCAGCCGCTTAAGGAAGAGAGAGCACATGACTAGTGGGAGCGTCGTGCCGGTGCGGGTGAGGAGGCGCTGGAAGTGGTGAAGGATTTCTGTGGGAGTACGGCTGTCCGCGGCTTCAGACGAGAGGAAGGAGCTTAACGCGGTCAGAGAGTTAGGTGCTGCTCGCCTAAGAATGGCCTCCTTAAGCTCGTCGTAAGTGGCGCACCGATGATCATTCAGGAGGTCGCCGACGGTCAGAAGTTCTGGCGGGAGGTTAGTGACCAGCAGCAAACTGGATTTTATCTCTTTATTGTTAATGAGCCAAGCACAAGTAATGTTAGGTCAGCAGTCGTGTGGCGAATGATGATTCCACCTCAGGTCCGGCGGCTTAAGTACCTGAGCGGCGATGTTAGCTCGGCCGATTAGGGCGGCCCCGAAGCAGGGGTCGGCCAATCACAGGTCAGGTGCGGTTCTAGATTGATGGCCAATCAGGAACCGCTACAACACCTTAGAATGGTTAATGGTTAAGATAAATATGCTAGACATCTAAGAGAATGTGTGGGACTGAAAGAGGGACGTTACATAGAGGACATAGGGGCGGGTCTGAGCGTGACATTAGATAGGTGAGTGTGGCCACTACGTAAGCGTGCGAGGGCCGTCTCCCAACGTCTGTTTTTGTGAAATGGAGCTGAGCAAGAGGAGATTGATGGTTTTACGGTATGTAATTTATTGTTGTGGAGTCTTGACCAAAAAGATTGCTATCGGGTATACAAGGAGGTTTTAAAGTGGAGGTAGTAATCCGTAGCTGGAATATGTGAGAAGTGTAGTTGAGGTCATGTGGACATTGCGGCATAGTTTGCAAGAGTATCTGCCTGTTCATTGCCAGGGATTCCAACATGGCTGGATATCCAGCAAAATCTGACAGATTTGTGATGTGTGGATAGATAGAACAACCAGTTCTGGATCTTACAGACAAGGGGATTAGTCGAGTGCAGAGACTTTATGAGGGTTAAAGAGTTACGGGAGTCAGTAAAAATAGTAAAAGAGGAAGAGGAGAATGAGTATATGCGTCTTAAGGCAAAAAGGAGTGCATATAGTTCTGTAGTAAGGACACTAGATTCAGGAGGGAGGGTGTATTTGAAAGTGCAATCTGGGAATGTTACTGCGAATCCAGCTCCTGAGATGGATTTGGAACCGTCAGTATAAACGTGAATGCTGGAGGAATGAATGGACACATGGTCAAGGAAATGAGTGAGTAGGATAGAGGGGGGAATATCTGATTTTGGTGGGTCAGGGAAAACTGAGGAGCAAATACAGGGGTTAGGTATAAGCCATGGAGGAATGGAATGGACAGAAAGTGGGAGAGGTCAGAGGTGAGGAAAGGGGGAATGGGAGAGGAGGGTATCCAAGCGTACGGGAAGAGGCGTTGGTAAACGTGGAGAAAAGGTAAAGGTATGAAGCAGGATTGTGGAATAGTTAGTTTGGTAAGGGAAAATTGGTGAAATCGAGCATAGCATCGGAGAGAGAAAAGGGCTCAACGTCGAGAGAGGGACGGCATGCCTGATTCAGTATATATGCTCTCACCTGGAGAGGAGCAGAAGGCGCCTAGGGCTAAGCGGAGACCGTTGTGGTGGATTGTATCAAGGTGAGCAAGAAGAGAGGTTGAGGCAGAGGAGTAGATATGGCATCCATAATCTAGAGTGGAGAGAATCAAGGTAACTTGAAGATGGAGGAGAGTTTTGCGATCTGAGCCCCAGGAGATGTGTGAAAGAGTTTGTAAGATTTGGAGGCGACATTGAGCTTTTTCTTTGATGTACAAGATATAGTCTCCCCAGGACAATTTGGAATCAAATATAACGCCTAGGAATTTGCCAGAAAAACGGTATTGGAGTGGAGCGTTATATAAGAAGAGTGGGAGTTTGGGGACCGTACGTGTGCGAGAGAAAAGGATGGGGAAAGATTTGGAGGTAGAGAAGCAAAAGCCATGGTGGCCCAAGAAGTTACTGATGTTATTGCAGACTGTAGGAATTGACAGAAATCTGGTATAGATGTGCCAGATGCATAGATGGCTCCTGATGGTAGGACTGAGACTATGTCATTTACAGCAAGAAGGAATAAAGTGGTACTAAGCACTTCCTTGTGGGACGCCTTCGAATTGAGGAAAGGATGATGACGTGGAAGAGGCAATTTTGACCTGGAAGGTACGTTTAGAAAGGAAGGATTTGATGAAAACGCCCTAAGGAGGACAATTGTTGGAGGATATGGTATCGCCATGTGGTATCATGTGCTTTTTCTAGATCAAAGAATATGGCTAATACGTATTCATGGCGTGCAAATGCCGATGTAATGTATGTCTCGAAATGGGCAAGTGGGTCTGCTGTACTTCGGGCACGTCGGAAACCAAACTGGGAAGGGGAAAGGAGATTATGAGATTCAAGGTACCACATTAAACGGAAGTTAACCATTCGTTCTATTAGTTTGCACAAGCAGCTAGTTAGAGCTATGGAGCGGTAATCTTGGGGTAGGGTACCTGATTTATTGGGTTTTAAGAAAGGTAGGATAAGAGCATCTCGCCAATGAGAAGGAAAATTTCCTGACGTCCATATGTGGTTGAAAATAGTTAAAAGGAAGGATAGAGAGGAAGATGGGAGGTGTCGGAGAATACGATAGTGAATACCATCAGGGACCTTCATGAGTGTTGCAGCACGACTGTAATGCAGCGTTGAGTTCAGAAGAAAAAGGAGCATTATAGGACTCATCAGAGGATAGGGTGAAGGTAATAGGGGTGTGTTCTTTGATGGCTTTAATGGAAGAAAAGTGTGGGGAAAGGTGGGAGCCACTACTGACCTGGCTGAAATAGTTGCCCAATTCATTAGCTATTTCGACA